ATAATAATTAATTATTTTGTTCGAACTTGATAATTATCCTAATTATATTTTAGATTTTAAAACGAGATGTTTATCCTCTATTTGATTATGTTTATCCACAGTTGGTTACACGAATTCAAACATAAAGCTTTAATAAGTTGTCCTTATGCATAAATTTTTTTCTTATAAAGATAATAATTAATTATTTTGTTAGGACTTGATAATTATCCTGATTATATTTTAGATTTTAAAATGAGATGTTTATCCTCTATTTGATTATATTTATCCGTAGTTAGTTACAGGAATTCAAACATGAAGCTTTAATAAGTTGTACTTATGCATAATTTACTTGTAATCTTGAATTTCAAGTAATATGCATCAATATACAGTACTTCATGCATAAAAAATGATTTTTAATTTTTTTTGTCAAATGCTTTATAATATATTATAGATAAAAAATGGTGATGAAGTTTGAAATCTGAATCAATAAGACCGTTTGTTTTTATAAACTGATAAATGTTTGAATTTGCTTGAATTGTCTATTTTACCCATTAGAAAATTATAATGTTGCATTTATATATAAATTTATACAATTTCACGTATTTATTCATCATTATTACGAAATTTACATCTAAATCTAAATTATAGCATTCTTTAAACAAAAATATATCATTAACAGTATTTAACACATTTAAATCCTAGTAAACTACACCAACTGAGAGTGGTGAGAATTGAGTTGATAAGGATCAATTGAGAGAAATGATTGATTAAGATTAAGCAACTGAGTTATTATTGGTTCACTTAAAGTCAGATTCTTTCACTTACTACACAAGACTTAAACTTTGACTTATTATTGTTTCAAGAAAAATTCATCAGACAATACAAAATTATGACATTCGAGCTCAACGCTTCTAGTTCATCAATCTTACCGTTCAACAATAGTCACACTTGATTTGGGACCTCATAAATTCAAATTACTCTACAAGTCAAGTTGAACACAAACTTGTGGAGCAAGAAACGATGGATGTATATGGCGGACTTTGATGAGGGGTGGTCGATCATTGACTTTTTATCTGATGAAGTTGTCTAAAATGCTTTTGTGCTATAATATTAGAATAGACATCGTCTTTTTCACTAATATGTGTCTTCTGGTATCATGATGAGAAGACGATCGTTTAAATATGATCCCTAAATGTTTTTACAGTCATGTGTTATTTACCGTCAAATTTGTCATATCTTTGATCTATTTATGTATATATTTAAAACAAAAGTTAAGATTATAATATATATATACACACACATATATATGGGTTAGGTTCACGTAAGACCAATGATTTTTCGTGAGACCCGTAAAACCAATTCTCAACCCTTGGATTAGATCTACAATCTGAACATTCATAATCACAAAATTGCCACGAGACTTCTTAATAATCACAAAATTGCTACTGTACAACTTTAAACCATTAGCTTATAAAGTTGATCAATAAATATAAATTGGTCTTACGGGTGTCACGAAAAACTTTTGATTTCACGTGAACCCAACCCTATTGACAAATTAACATCATAAGAAATAAAGTGAACTACATTTTTGGTCCCACATTAATACTTTTTGTTTTGTTTTCATTCTTCCAATTCATAAAGTACATTCTTGGTCCAAAAATCATGTTTTTATCCTAAATGAGTCCCTTATACTAACACTATTATATTTGAGTCCTTTAAGTGTATCATCTGCCTTAAAAGTGCTCATGAGTTGGGTTGATCGGATTGAAGACATTTGAACAATCCAACCCAATGCTTGCAGTTTAAAAAATCTTAACCCAACCCAGCTCAACCCGTATGGGTTGGTCGGGTCGATACTTTGATACATTAAAATATTATTCTAACCTTGAATATGCTATTTCTCTACTCCTAATTTGTTTTTCATCAACCATATGATACAATTTATCCATATTTCTTACGTATATCACATTCAGTTAATTTTCTCAATTTACATATATATGTTCACAATTACTGAACATATATACAAATGAATTATAAAGAGATGTGAATAGATTGAAAATATGCGTATATGAAAATCATATATGATAGTGTAATTGTCTAATGTATATATTAATAGAAATTCAACAATCATATTAAATCCAAGAAATAAAAGAATATCAAGTTCATTGGATTGGGTTGGGTTGGGTTCAAATAATAATAACTCAATATCAACCTATTACCTACGGTTTGACAAATTTACAACTCGATTAGACATCGGGTTGGATTTTTCAGGAGAAACTCATTTAAACCACAAAACATGAAGAATTTTTGGACTAAGAATGTAATTTTCGAATTAGAGGGATGAAAACCAAAAGACAAGCATTCACGAGGGACCAAAAATATAATTCACTCTGAAAAATATATGTTCAAATCCTTTTAACTTGAATGACGTATGACATAAGCAATTGTTTATTTGCTTGTTAATGAGGAAATTTAAAACAAAAGTTATTTAGATTATAATTAATATTTTAAAAGTTTTTATTTAATAAAAAATTAGAACGGAAACGTGGAATTGAATCGCACCACTCATTTTCAACCCCCTTCTCAAGAAAAAACGCCACAACAGTTGATAACAAAGAAAATTCTGAAATAATAACAATACAATAATCAGATTCATAAAACCCTGGAAACACCAACTTCTCAAAACCTACCACAAATTTCCAAAAATGATAATCGCTACATCCCACAACACAAATTTCCAAGAATTCCTTCAACTTCGTCAGTTAATGTTTCGACAGTGATACGTGCTAAGTAGCGTCTGTGAGTGAGTGAGAGTTAAGACCGGGTATTTGACGATCAGGTGAAGGGAAATCAAATAAATAACCGAAATGCATTAAACCGAGTGAAAATGGGTCATGGGGTAGGACAGACCAAAATAAATAACCCAAATGCATATATTTTTAGTTGGTCACTAACACTAGACCACTATTTTTTTGGTTACCAATCCAACTCACTACAATTCTACAACAAACGAATACCACTCCATGACCACTATTTTTTGGTTACTAACATATTCAATTTAGTGAAGCGACTACTCATTAATCCTTTTAATGTAATGACTACTTTTTGTGACCAAACACAAAACCATAAAAGAAATTCCTTCAACCACTTATTGACCAAATTTATTTTTTCACTAAAATTCATATTCGTGATCAAAAATTAATGATAACCTTTGTCATCATCACTAACGTCACAGTTAATGACCAACATATTAGTCATCAAAATTTTGGTCGATGACTAAACTTTTTCTTGTAGTGTTCGGACATTATCAGCAAATTGTAATCCGTCTATGCCTAGGATAAAAGAATATATTAGTATAATGTCACAAACTGATAGCTCCGAGATGCACAAATTTAGACCTTCACCAGTAGAGAACATAAAAGACAAGAAATGACCCAACAAAGCCTACAAATAATAAAATGCAGCCTTGTTAGCCAATCTGTGTTTTTTTTATCTAGACAAGAATTTCTAGGAGCATATAATTTGTGAAGTTCTCATCCGTCATATAAACATCTAAGAACTCACAGCATCTATAGAACAAAAAACTTTTCATGTCGGGGAACTAGAACAACAATATATGATCATTGCAACACGCAAAAGAGGAAGCAAACTTGAAACCAACCAAACAGTTAATCTACAACATAAGAGTTAAACACACCGAAGACATGGAATTGGCTAGAAGCAAAACTTTTGAACTTAAAACCCAAAACCTGGATAAGGGTTGTCCCTCTCCCTTACAGGGTAAGACTTCTAATCCTTGCTATCGCTCGTACATGTAAGATTCTCAATTCTCGTCATGTTCATTCTATAACGTAAAAGTGACTAATAAGCACTTACCTGGTAAACGTTAGTAAACGACCCCTTGATCTTACAAAATCATAAAACACAACACATGAAATTGGCTACAAGCAAAACTTGAAGTTGAAACCCAAAACCTCCAAGAGTAAAAAATTGCAAGGAAAACCGTCTACATCAAGCAAAACTTAATTCCAACTAATAACCATACACTAACTGGATTCAAAATAAGTCACACCTCATAACATGTCAAGTCAACAATCCACTCATCTTCATAACGAGGCTCGACAAAATCTTCATACCAATACCAAAATCCAGGAAAAGCTGAAAAAACATGACACAGATATTACCGGTTTATTTTCTACTAAAATTCATGCCCATTCGAGAACGAAAAGTAGGTTTAGAATTCCAAGAACAATCTTTGTTATCACAAACAAACTCCACAAGGACACTCATTCAGTTATTCTTGAATGATGGGCTGCACAGACAAAAGATGAAAGGGAGTACACAACTATCTTTATAGGTAATTTATGGCAGGCAACAAAGATACAAAGACATAGATAATACACATAATATAGGTAATTTAGTTACCTTTGATTTATGTTTGTTATTTTAAGACGATACTCCTACGGACAATCACCGTAATGACACCGCCCACTTATACTCCTACGTGAATTTCCTGTAATCACATTCAATTCCCTAAAAACACAACCATTAACACATGTATGTTCCACATTGGAATTCATCAGATTCGAATCAGAGAGGGCCAAAAGGATGAGTAAAGTAAATAAAATAATTACAGATACACACAAGGCTGACAAGAACCCCTATCAGACATTAGTATTTAGTAGCATACCATCTAATTGTATGTAGATAAGCATACATAGCAAAATGGCACACTCACCACTGTCAACAATACCATGAGAAGAAAACTAATAACATATACTAATCGAATTCAGAAAGCAACAATCTAATCAACTACATTCTACAAATCGATAGTGCTCTTTTAAAAAAAAAAACAGCAGTTGATAACAATGAGAAAGAGAAAATAAATACAACAAAGAAAAATCTGAGAGAACTTTCTTGCAGGTGATGGGATTGCCTAGGTAAAAACGAAGATAATACTGAGAAATAACATTAAAAAAAGAATGCAAACATATATGAAAACCCTAGCCAAGAATCATTGGCAAACCCTCTACATCACTCAAAACAAATCTACATACACAATATTTCGAGTAAATAACTAACAGCCATTTATCACCACCTAGTCATGCATATGAGCATATTGACACAACACTTTGCCAAAACAGACATTATCACACTCAAAAAATGAAAATAAAATAATAACAATACAATAATCAGATTCATAAAACCCTGGAAACAACAGCTTCTCAACACGCATGCTTGCAACAAAATAAATCATATAAAACCTACCACAAATTTCCAAAAATGATAATCGCTACATGCCACAACAGAAATTTCGATGAATTCCATCAAGTTCGTCAGTTTCTGTTTCGACGGGGGTACGTGCTGAGCGGTGTTCTCTGTGTGTGTGTGTGTGTGTGTGTTTGTCAGAGAGAGTTAAGATTGGGTATTTGACTATCGGGGGAAGGGAAACCAAATAAATAACCCAAATGCATTAAACTGGATGGGGATGGGGATGGGTCATGGGGTAGGTCGGACCAAAATAAATAACCCAAATGCATATATTTTTAGTTGGTCACTAACACTTCCAATTTAGTGACCACTATTTTTTTGGTTACTAATCCAACTCACTAAAATTATACAACAAACGAATGCCACTTAATGACCACTATTTTTTTGTTACTAACATATTCTATTTAGGGAAGTGACTACTCATTAATCCTTTCAATGTAATGATTACTACTTTTTGTGACCAAACACAAAACCATAAAAGAAATTCCTTCGACCACTTACTGACCAAATTTATTTTGTCACTAAAATTCATGTTAGTGATCAAAAATTAATAATAACCTTTGTCATCATCACTAACGTCACAGTTAATGACCAACATATAAGTAGTCATCAAAATTTTGGTCGATGACTAAGCTTTTTCTTGTAGTGTTCGGACATTATCAGCAAATTATAATCCGTCTATGCCTAGGATAAAAGAATCTATTAGTATAATGGCACAAACTGATAACTCTGAGATGCACAAATTTAGACCTTCAATAGTAGAGAAAACATAAAAGACAAGAAATGACCCAACAAAGCCTACAAATAATAAAATGGAGCCTTGTTAGCCAATCTGTGTTTTTTTATCTAGACAAGGTACAAGAGTTAAGGACTTTGGAGCAAGGTACAAGAGTTGAAACATCACATTTTAGACATGGAATTCACATGAAGCAAGACTTGAAGTTGAAACCCAAAACCTCAAGAGCCACAAACGCAAGGAAAACCATCTATAACCGGAACCAAAGTAGACGGAGAAAACCTCAAGGTCAAAGCAGGTTTACCGGATTCAGTTGGAACCTTTGTAGAAGACATCCGCGTCAGCGAGAAAGTGGAGGCTTGAGAGAGTAAAAGCGAAATCAAAGGTCGGTGCACATTTATCCCAAAAAGACTCGTTACGTAAAAGAGACAAAATCCAATAACCATGAAAATGAAAATCAACAAGAATGCAAAAGGTTAAGAAAACAAATAACTTATTACGTAAATAATTAAAAATCAAAGTGATAGAGATAGTAAAGAATGAAAAGCTTCGAAAACYATGCATAAAATAATAGTTAAAACACCACATAGAAGCATGAAATTGGCTAGAAGTCAAAACCTCAAGGCCAAGCACGTATACCGGAATCCATTGGAACCTTTGCAGAGGACATCCGAGTCAGCAGAGGACATCCGAGTCAGCAGAGGAAGTCAAGGCTTGGTGAATGCATTATCCCAAATAGACAAAATAAAAACACCATGGAAATGAAGATCAACAAGAATGCAAAAAATCAAATAAGTCATCAAGTAAAAAATCAAAACCAAAGTAGTTAAGGAAGTATAGCACAAAAGCTTTTCAAATTACGCATAAAAAATTACGCATAAAAAATTACGCATAAACTCGACAAACTACAAAGAAACATGGATAAATTAAAAAAAGCACAAAATCTAAATCAACACAAAATTAGTAGGACACAATGTAGACTCTCTTGTGAAGGCAAATCACACCAAAATACATGAAACTGACCAACCACWATCGCAACAAAACAAGAGTTAAAACACCAGACAGAAGACATGGCATTGGTTAGAAWCAGAACTTGAAGTTGAAACCCATAACCTCAAAGAAAAAACCATCTACAACTGCAACCAAATTCWTTTGGAAAAACCTCAAGTTCAAGGTAGATTTAYCGATATCGGTTGGATATCATTACTCGAAAGAGACACAATCAAAGTAATAATAGGTGARTGCATTTATTCAAAAAGAATATCGTTACTTAAAAGGGACAAAGTCAAATAACCATGGAAATGRAAGTCAACAAACATGCAAAAGGCCAAGAAAACAAATAACTCTCTACATAAAAGATCAAAGTAATAAAGGAAGTGARGAATAAAAAGCTTAGTAAACTATGCATAAAAATCCCRTAGTATATTTGAAAAACACAAAATGTAAATGAACACAACGTGTGTTGTAAAATTCAAATTTCAAAGATATCKGTCACACTAGATGAAAATAATGCAGCCACAATACATGAAACCAACCAAACAATCAATCCATGAAGGAGATGGAATTCGCAAGAAGGAAAACTTGATATAGAAATGCAAAACCTTCAAGAGCCACACACAAGAAAAACCATCTAACAGTGGAACCAAAGTCTGCCGGAAAAACGTCATGGTCAAGACCAGAATCCCTTGGAACCTTTGTAGAGGAAAACCAAGTAAACGGAGAAAGTGAAGGCTTGCTAGAGTAAGAACGGAATCAAAGGAGAGTGCATTTATCCAAATAAAAATCTCGGTACTTACAAGAGACAAAATCAAATAACAATGGATATGAAGATCAACTAGAATGCATAAGATCACGAAAACGAATAACCCATACGTAAAACATGGCAAAGTGTGTACTACAATTCAAACTTCGCAAATTATTGTTATACTAGAAGAAAACAGTCCAACCTCCCTCGTGAAGGCAAATCAGACCAAAATGCATGAAACCGACTAAAACCTTAATCTACAAAATAAGAGTTAAAACATCATACGGAAGACATGGAATTAGAAAGAAGCAGAACTTGATGCTGAAACGCAGAACCTCCAAGGGCCGCAAATGTAAGGAAAACGATTTACAACAGTAACCAAATTCTTTGGAAAAAACCTCAAGGTCAAGGCAGGAATCAGTTAGAACCTTTTTAGAGGACACCTGAGTCAACGGAGGAAATAGCAGCTTGCCAAGAGCAAAAATAGTAAAAATCAAATAATGAAGGAAGTAAAGAATAAAAGGCTTTGTAATTGAACTCTTCATAAAAATCCAATAATAAAGTGCAAAAAGAGCATATTAAAAGAACACAAAATGTAAATCAACACAATGTTTGTAGTAAATCCAGTCTTTAAAAGGCTTTTAAACTAGATGAAATAAATCCAGTCTTCAAAAGGCTTGCCATAGTAAAAACGGAACCAAGGTGAATGCATTATTCCAAAAATGATATCGTTACTTCAAACAGACAAAATAAAAACACCATGTAAATGAAGATCAACAACAATGCAAAAAATCAAATAACTCATCAAGTAAAAAATCAAAACCAAAGTAGTTAAGGAAGTATAGTTAAGCAAAACTTTTGAACTTAAAACCCAAAACCCGGGTAAGGGTTGTCACTCTCACTTACAGGATAAGACTTCTAGYCCTTGTYATYGCTCGTACAGGTAAGATTCTCAATTCTTGTCATGTTCATTCTATAACGTAAAAGTGACTAATAAGCACTTACCTGGTAAGCGTTAGTAAACGRCCCCTTAATCTACAAAATCATAAAACACAACACATGGAATTGGCTACAAGCAAAACTTGAAGTTGAAACCCAAARCCTCCAAGAGTAAAAAATGCAAGGAAAACCATCTACATCAAGAACCAAAGTGTGCACAAAAAACCTCRAGGTCAAGGCAGGTTTACCGTTATCCTTGCGAGGACAACCAACTAAGCGAAGCAAGTGGAGGCTTGCGAGAGTAAAAACGGCATCAAAGGTGAGTGCATTAATCCCAAAAAGATTCTAGTTATCTAAAAGAGTTAAATCAAATAACCATGGAAATAATAATTAACAGGAATTCCAGAGGTCAAGAAAACAAATCAAAGTAATAGAAAAATAAATAACATAATGCTCGACAAACTACAAAGAAACATGGATAAATTAAAAAAAAGCACAAAATCTAAATCAACACAAAAAAAGCACATTATAGCAACATGCAATTTATTTTAGAAAACTATAATCTTGTTGTTAGAAGTTACCATGGTAACACCCTCACCAGTATTTGATGCTAGGAATTGAAGCTCCTGTTGACCATTTAGTAACTGAAAATTAAACCAGACGGAAGACATAGAATCGGCTAGAATCAAAACTTCAAGTTGAAATCCAAAACCTCTAAGAGCCACAACCGCAGATCTACAACTGCAACCAAATTCTTGGGCAAAAACCTCAAGTTCAAGATCGGTTTAAGGAAATCAGTTGGATATCGTTACTTAAAAGAGAGAAAATCAAAGTAATAAAAGGTGAGTGTATTTATCCCAAAAGAATATCGTTACTAAAAGGGACAAAATTAAATAACCATGAAAACCAAGGTCAAGAAAACAAATCACACCCTACGTAAAAGAGCAAAAATCAAATAACCATGGAATTAAAATGAAAATCAACAAGAATGTACAAGATCAAGAAAACAAAATCAGAGATACATCCACATCTAGTGTTGCTTTTCATTTGAGATATATTATTAACTCATCGCAGATAACGTTATCATTCAATAAAACAGAGAATTTTTCATGTCATAGAACTAGAACAACATCATTAGAGATTTTTTTAGTCGCTGAACCATTTTAGTTTTAACGAAACTGGTCCCCACAAAACTAGTAAAACCTAGTATTATTTTGTGCCTCTTCATAATCCACTTGAAAAATCCAAGAAAAAAACTATTATGCTTATTTTACTTGCAAGATAACAAATGAAAAGAAGAAGAAACTTAAATTTAGGATACTGTCATATACCTGGAGTCCCAGTTACGCCTTGCTCGGCTTCGAAGGAGTTTTGTCTTGTCGGTTCGTAGTCTTTCCGTTTTAACTTGCACACAATGTTGACGTTGTGTTAAGAAAGTGAACAGGTATTTGAATATACATGATGATTCTTGTGAAGATCATCAGGCTTTTTCAAAAACCCTAACTGGGGTTGCTTGAAATCGACATTAGAATCTGCTTCAGACAATTGTTTCGAGTTTCTAGAGATTCTTGATCATCATTCTCTCTTGTTCTGCTTGAAACCAACTGCATTGGGGTTTTGCCGGAGTGGAGGGAGCATCGGAGGGAAAAGGGTTGGGGTGGGGGTATTACATCGGAGATTTTGTTTGGGGGTGGGGTGCCGATTGGAGTTGCATGTTATAATATTTATATGTTATATTATATATATTAAGAAAAAATCTATAAATTTCAAATAATAAATCCCCAATTTCTGTGAAATCGATTAAACTTTTTTTTTAACAAGCAATTTTTGAATATGTTTAAGAATTTTTTTTATTATTATTATTTTCCTTTTCAAAAAAATATGTTTAAAAAAATCCGACGGATCGTAATTTTCTAATAAAAAGTTAATATTCCATCAGAAATCTATCGGAATTTATTTTAAAAAATATATGTTTTATAAGAAAAAATAAAATATTTTTTTTAATAAATTCCGATGGAATATAATTTTTTATTATAAAAATTATTATTAATCGGAAAATTTGAACTTCTTTTAAATATATATTTTTGGAAGAAAAAATATACAAATAAAACTTCTTTGAACATTACCGATAGATTTCAGATGGAATTTACATTTAGCAACGGGGTTTTTTTTTCCAACGAGTTGTTTTTCATACGGAGTTCCGACGCATTTTGCCGTGGGAAAAATCACATTTTTTAGTAGTGATCAATCAAATGAGTATAATTGAACTGTTAATATAAATTGTGTCTAGATACGTTCAAATGAGTCTAAATGAACTACTAATGTAAATTGTGTCTAGATACGTGTTTAGACGGAAAAACAAGAAAACCGTTTCACCAGAAGATGACATGTGTCACCCAAGTTACTTATTTATTTTAATTAAAATAAAATATATTTTATCAGTGATTTTTCAAACTAAGGAAATAAAAAAATTTAAAAAAAATTATTATTAAATTTATTTTAATTAAAAATAAAATATATCATGTATGTGATTTTTTAAATTAAAAAAAAGATTTAAAAATATTACTGTTGAAATTTATTTTAATTAAAAATAATATATTTTTATTTTTAATTAAAATATATTTCATC